CTCTCTATATATATATATATATATATCACATAGACTCGAGTTTTGGTACTTTATATAAATAACAATTAAAATATTTCTTTCTGCTACGGGATCAGCCAAGCTGAAACATTCTATCATTAAGTAAGAGAGTTCTCGATCAGAACTGTTTTTATCTGTAGTTGGAAATCGGCAATAAGTTGAATATAAAACATTACTGTTCATCACATTTATTACTAGTAAAAACATTTTTCTTTGCATCAGAAATACACGAGTTAGGTTAACTTGGAAACGTTTGTGCATGCTATTTTAACCACTCGCCCCCTACCTGCACCTTCAGTTGTAGCAGACACAGTATCACTAGGAGCTCCTCTTCCCATTGTGTTTAAAGCAGTCACAAAAAACTGATAGGTTTTTCCACATTGCAAATCTGTTACGGAGTAAGTATTCTTATCCCCAGACACCTGACTCTCAGACCACGTAGTCTTATCTTCAGGTCGGTAGTGGATCACATAACCTGTGAAGATCAGAATTTTAGGTAGAGTAATTCCTAAAGCCGGTATAGCAATTAATGTATTCGTATTACCAACTAGAATAAAACTATGATCAAAACGTATGAAAGCCGTCAAAGAATTATAATTTAAAAATAATACATTTAAGTGCAATTTGCTGTTTGCGCGATAACAAAACAGATAAATAGATAAACTTTTAATTAAAAATGTTTAAATTACGTATAAAATATAATGAAGTCTTAAATGTATAGTAAACTATTTAGTAAGTATAAGCATAATAATGAATTCTAGAAAGAAGCCAAGCAGTCGAATATTAGCATAAAAATATGCATTAGTTATTGTGACAGCTTATGCAAAATAAAAGACAAAGTTCTACAGTTAGAATTCTCCATTGAGTAACGATGGAATAGATTAAATGTTTCTTATCACATATGTATATATAAAGTTGATTACGTATTCTTGCAGTATTTCTGTGCATTTTTAAATATCACCATTATTGCATTTAACAAGTTAAATGGTAGAGAGTAAATAGGAGGATTCTTACTATTATTAGTATTACTGATCCAACATGTCGGATACTGACCTGTCACAGGGTGGGTATCATCCCTTGCTCTCGTCCAATGAAGCTGAACCGACGATGACGTAGTTGACTTTACAGTAGCAATGACAGCTTTTGGTGGGTCTGGGATATTTTAATTACACTGTATAGGTTATTTTTATTGAAACTTAAAACTCTAATCGGAAAGACGATAAACAAAAAATAAATAAATAATAGAAATAACTTAACTAGGTTCGCTTTTAAATCACGTGAATGTCTGGTTTGAAGCTGCTGTTAAGTTATTAAAAATATATATGAAAATTCTATAATTTGGTTCACCACTTATCATTGAGTTATATCGATTTCGGGGAATTCCACCACTAATCAGTAACTCTGGACAAGAGCAAATCGAAAGAATAAGACTAGGCTTCATATAGTGATGAATTTTACTCTTCAAATCTTACATAAATACAGATAAACTACGGTAAGTAAAAGACAGCTCAAATGCCACACATCTAAAATCGAGTTACACGACTCGACTGTTTGATATTTTAAAGTTCTAATGATTCACGGCTAAAAGTAAAATCTATACTCACTTGAATATATGTTTTATCTTAATTATAGACTTAGAATCTAATTGTCTTTATTTTATTTAGAAAACTATATTCGATTTTTTTAGAAACAATACACAACGTTTAATATTTCATTACAATTACAGCTTTATTTCGACACGTTCTTAAAATGCGTTGGCTTAGGGATGTTACAAAGGTTGTAAGTTGTATCAGTATACTTACCAAACTCAAAAGTCTGTGCAAGGATCTCCTTACTCATAGGGCCAGCTCCCTTCCTGTTAAAAGCCTGAACAACAACTTCATACGTTCTGCCTGGAAGTAGTCCATCCAACTCCTCCTTGTTATTCTCTTGCTCCACGGTCTTGTAGATGAAGGATTCATCAGAGCCGTAGATTCGATATCCAATGTAATAGCCTTTGATTCTTTGCTGTTCAACTCTCAAAGCAAAATTCTGTGATAAAAAGTAAAGAAGTTGGAAAAACATAAAAGAAAGCTGCAGATTTAATTAGATAACCCTTTTGCTTGTGGTACTATTACACTGATGAACAAAGAGATAAGTTTAAAATTATCCAAAAAGGCAGTTTCAGGAAATATACTGCAGAGAATAATTTCATACTCTGATAGTAAAGTCAATAAACAAACACAAACGAACAAAGAAACAAAATCTCTATCCACGATTAATGTGTGTCGTCTGTTTACCAGCTTGGTTGGTCTCTTTGTACTATAATGGCTGCTAGGGTTGAGAGAAGTATTTTCTACTCACGTCTGCGTAGAATAAAAACATTAGAAATTCTATACATACACACAGGATAAAGAAATAGGGAATTATGGTTTACCATCAAAATTAAGACAAAACGTTAAAAAGTGGTATACCAGAATCAAACGCTGCATACAATACTGACTATTCAAAAAATAATAAATATATATACAGGTGGAAAAACACTAACACACCCCTTGAGATGTGCTCGCTCTTCCTAAAAGGTGTCAGATACAGGGTCAAAGTGATATTAGTTTCTAGAAATTGACATATACAAGCTTTATCTGAGTATTGACCTTTCAAAATTTAGTTAACTAGAATGTCACATTAAATATATGGTATAAAGGCATACTACGTGTTTTCTATCTTCTTATTTACTATAAATTGTTCACATTTTTCCCACATATGGTGTATGTAATTTTAACATAGAATGTCAGTCAAGGAAGTAGCAAAATTAGTTTTGCCTAAATTACCTATTGAACTGGATCATTTGTCCATAGTATTATACCTACGTTCACATGGAAAAGATGTCTGCAAAGTGAAACATGCTATGTAGAAGTGTGGAATGATTTTTTCCAGTGATAGGTTAGGTGATATCTTAAAGTTACAATCTCACTTATTTTTCATTGGAGATTATAGCTGGTCAAGTAGGTAGTGCACACAAACTGAATAGAATAAAATTACTGTTTCAAGTATATAATGCAATATTTTATCAGCCTGGAACAGATTATGAAGCAATTCTTTAGACATTCTTAGGAGAGGCATACATCTAATTCGCTGAGAGCTCTCTCTAGTAAAGGTGCCATAAACACACTTGTCTCGACTTTGATTGTTTTTGTATTGAGTAAAATTTGTTTCATTCTGTTTTACATCATGGAATCATTTACAGCTAAGATAGTTTAATCTTTCTAACAGCATGGCCGTTGGAATGGATTGCCTTTGTATGTTGTGGAAGCAGTAAATTTAAGTGAGTTTACGAGAAAGCTTGATAACTATCTGAATGACAAGGACTAGCTTTGAGATTTTGTTATTTAAATATTGAGTTTAGTTTAGAGGATGGGACTGCCTAGATGGACCAGTAGGTCCCTTGTTGTCCCTAAACATTGTCATGTTCCATGCTATATAGATATAGATGACACATGACCAATTAAACAATCACCCGTGTATGCTTCTCTAGTGCAATTGTTACATATTAGAATTTCAAATAGCCTGAAATTGAGTTAACGGATAAATTTAAATTTAGTAGTTAAATTGTACTTTAGATTTAGCAGTTAAATAAAAGCCGATATATAATCAGTTTATGATATTTGCCAACAAGATTGATACTCACACTTTTCTTTTTAACACAAATACGTTTTAATATGCATACAACAGTACAATTTACAATAACAATTATTACAAAAATTTCACGAAATTCCACGATATATGCAGTCTTCTTTCTAGTTTGGAACTTCCTTGATATCTTATCGAGTGTTCACGATGAGCGAGTTAATTACGAGTTGATGTAGGTACGATTCGCAGGGAAGCTAGATAGCTTTGTCCTTTACTACACACGCTGAGTGTTCCACTGTTAAAGTTCGATAATGTTTCCGTAAAAAAATATGTCCGATGAGAATACACTGAAGTTAAATGAGTTGTAATGTTCGAACTTTGTAAATGCTCCTGGTCAAATATCTGAAGTTTTCCGATTGATAAGCGTTATAACAATAACAGTTATAGCTTCCTAAGTTTTATAGCACACTGATTATAGCAAACTGATAATAGATACTCTTCTTTTCGCGCGTCGCGTTGGTCATATTTATAGCTATGTGGAGGCGTTCTAGAAATTTCAGTCTTACGTAACAATACTGAGCTAACATAAGTGTTTACGTGGACACATATATTGTTGATTCTTACTCTCGAGAATCTTCTACAACTTTGGAGAATAGGCGGGAGTTT